GAGCGCAGTAGCGGGCTCCAGCGAAAGAGAGCAAGATTCGTCTCCTCCAAAAAGCAACAAGGCGGAAAGTGACCAAGCCGCCACCAACTCTTGAACCTTCGTTACAAAAGACGGGGTCGAAAGGAACCCCATCTAGACCCCCAAGTCACACAGCCACAAGAGCATAAAGACCAAATGATCCTGCCGTTCACTTTCAAGGAGGCATCGCTCCGTCGGTGCGAACCGGTCCCCACCGTGCCCCGCGAAAAGTGAGGGTGGGCAGATGCCCGAGCAAGTACCTCGTTTTGTCTCCAAAAGGCAACATAGCAAACAGATGCGGGACGGTCGAGGTGCCGACCCAGTGGCCTCCGCCGAGCCGGGGCTGCAGGAGGCGCCGGGTGCGGGGGACGACGTGCCCAGGTAAGGCCAGCAATAGTGCCCGCTCGCTAGGGCCCCCGCCGCGCCCCGCGGGGCAGCGCCCTGCACGCCCTGCTGCGGTGCAACCTGACGCCCGGCGCCCAGCGCCTGGCGGTGGCCGCGGTGCTGGCGCTCCTGGTCTTCATCAACGTCGTGCTCATCTTCCTGCTCACCTTCCGCTGACCGCTCGCCAAGAGGCCACGGGTGAGTGGCGTGGGGCTGGCACCAAGGGTCAGCCTCTCTCCAGCCTCTGCTGCTGCCGCCGCCATGCTTTGCCGCCGACTTCTACCTCCTTCCACCCTCCTGGCTGTCCCGGGCCACCCTGCCCGGCCCTGGGCAGGGCGGGTGTGTTGGGTGCTGTGCCCTCTGCCCCTAAAGGGGCTGCCCCAACGCAGACAGGATGGAAGGGAGGGGCTCCGTCCACCCCTCACCTCAGCGAGCCAGGGGGGAAATATGCACTGCAGGCAGAGGGGGTGACCCCAGGGCACAGTGTGATGGGTCCCCTGGTCTGATGTGACTAACATGGCGTGGGTGTGTGTGTGAAGGCTTTGGTGTGGACATGGCTATGGCTCACAGTGGTGGTCTGGTCGTGCGCATTGTGGTGGCTGAGGTGTGCGTGTGTTTGGGGGAGGATGGATAATGCAGGCCTTGTGACAAAGGTGTTGTAGATAACTGCAGTTCTGTTTCACATTTCAGGCCTTGGGGCAAATGGCCCCAGTCAAGCCCTCCACTCCAGGCAGAGCCCACATTATGCTACGAGACTTGCTTTCCCAGGAGACCTGCCTGCAGGTGACAGGGCTGGAGACAGAGCTGGGTGGTCATTGGTTGGCCATTTGGAGACAAACACGACCAACTGCGGGACCGTTGTTGCCTGGACCGTCACGGCTCGCCGGGCGGTGACAGGCTGGACTGCCTTAGTCTCAGATTTACTCCTCCTGGGAAAATCCCCTCCACCACAACATACCTGTGCCTCACAGGCCAAAGCCCATTGCAGTAGCTTGTGTGATCCTCAAGCCCTCTGGTCCAGGGGCGACTGAACCAAGAAGCTGTGTAGGGACAGGCCTCTGCCCAGCACCGGCAGTGATGAACAGCCTCTGGGCTTCAGGACTCATATTTGACCGTATGGACTCACATTTGGTTTGGGTCGTGGGTCATGACTGTCTGGCCATAGAGGCGCAGTGCTCTTGCTAGCAAACCTGACCTCCTCCATGCGAGTAAAGCATTGTCCTGTCTAGTTCCTGTGTATGAGTTATCCATTCGTTGGTGGCCTCAGTCTGGTGTGTGCAGGGGACAATATGAGGTGGATCATGGTCTGGGGCAGGTGTCCAGGTAAGTTTGGTGGACCACAGGCCTGTGACCAAGGTGCCTGCATGGAACTCTGCTGTGTGGTGTTCAGGCGTGAGGGGCTCTGAGCACAAGCTGTAGTCCATGAGCCCCGCTGTCTTCCTGCAGAGAGAACTGTAAGTGAGAAGGGGGAAGAGGGAGTGACTGCATTTGGACACGGCAGGTTCGAGCTGCCTGCATCTGGATCAGAACACACTGCCTGAAGTTCATCTTGATCCTGAGCAATCTGGGTCTTGCGTCCTGGGCTTGTCTTGTGTTGTGCCCTTCCGAGCCAGCAACCCTCTCGAGGTCAGAGGGGCAGCCCTCCTCGTGTCCCTCCTCTGCAAGCCCAAGCAGATGCCAGTGCCTATCTGTGGCCTAACAGCCCCCGTAAAAGGCCTTATCTTTCTCCCTCGGGGTGGCTGGTGATGTTGAACTACTGACAATGTGGTTAGCAGCCCAGTGAGTTAAAGAAAAGAATCCCCCAAATATCTTGCGATGTGAATGAACCTGGACGCTTTATGCTTAGTAAAAATAATGCAATCTCAAATTTTTTAAATAGATAAAAATATAGAGTATGTTCTCACTTTTATGAAATGACATAAACAAAAACTACTGTTCATTAGTGGCCACCAATGGTGGAGGTGTGGGGTAGGGAGAGGGGGATTCCCTTTCTAGTAAGTCCTTGTTATTTAGGGTGATGAGAAAAGTCATCCTTTTCCCATGAGGGTGAATTAAACACAGCTTGATGAAGGTATACTATGACACTCAAATGTGCACAATAAAAAGTGCCTTTTTAAAATAACAAATACTAGAGAGGGCGTGGAGAAAACAGGAACCAGGAATCTGTAAATATGTACAACCATTGTGGAAAGTGATATGGCTGTACCTTTGGCAACTGGGCATAGACGTTCCATACAATCCAGCAATGCCTCTACTGGGCATACATCCTAACGAAGTAAGTGACATCACACAAATAAAAGTATGCTCACAATAGTAAGATGTAGAAACAGCCCCAAAGCCCATCACTAGGAGAATGGATAAAGAACACTGGCACATGCACAAAGCGTATCCCTAAAAAACCTTGGTAAAACCAATAAGTACTTCACAGTGAGGATGGACCTGGAGAACATTGTGCTGAGTGAAGTTGTCAGTCACAAAAGGACAGCTATTGTATGCGATGACTACTATTAGGGTAAACACCAAGACAAAGAAAGCCTGTATTCTCAGGCCAAGTAATCATTTCATCTGGTCTCCCAAGGAACATTGTGATGTGTCTGTTGAATGCTTATAAACCATTTATTTGAACATCTTCAAAACCATTTCTTTAGAAGAGGCCTCACTTCAACTGGGTCTAACACTGTGCTTGTGACTGAGAATTTCAGTGGGACCTGAAGCAGGTATCACATTCCTGGAAGCTAGCAAGCAAAAGCTCATGGCAAGAGAGTGACCCTCAGCCTGGGCCTGTCTTCCCAGGCACTCGGAGCAGGTCTCTAAGGCAGCTCTGGCCTAGTGAAGGGTGAAGCATGAGGGGCCCCTGGGCCAAAAAAAACCTTCTCTTGCCTCCCACCAGTCTCAGAATGGAGCTCCTCTCTGAGGCTTCGCAGCATGCCATTCCATGGCTTTACCTGCAGGGGGCAGGCAGCCTCTTGAGCTTTAGCTAACTTCTGGTGACACCAGGAATGGGGTGCAGACCAGACATGGCCTGACCACTAATGGGGCATCAGAGTTTCTTGGATCCAGTCTGCAGGAGCCAGTCTCGCCTCTAGCTTCTAAAGCAACACATAGTCTGAACCAGAAAGACATTCCTACCAGCTAGGCCATCAGCAAGTGTCTCAGAGGCCTAGGGAATGGCCAGCAGGATCCCTCCACTTCTCCACCTGCCCACTCCCAGCCTTCCCCTCCCCGACTGCTTCCACCCTGAGACCTGGTTCCCTGCTGCCACAGGGCTCTGCCACACCAGTCCTATGCTTAAAGGAGCCTCCACCCCCACCCCAGCCCCTCCTCAATGAATTCAATCCCATAGAATGGGCAGGGAAGTGAGGTGTCGAGCGATGTTTATGTACCTCCTGTCTTCCTGTTGATCGATTCTGAGGCCCGACCCTGGTTAAGAACCCTTACAGCAGCCACTGGCGGTGTCTGGACAGCTTAGTCTGGAAGTTGTGCGGCAGTCTGACTGGACGTTTGAGGCACGAGTGAGAGAACTTCAAGTTCTAAGCATGTTTCACTGGGAAGAGGACCTCAATCATTATATTATGGCTAGTTGTCAAGTTGCTTCAGACTCGGCAAGCCTATGTGCAACTGAAGGAAACACTGCCCGGTTCTGCACCACTCTCACGATTGTTCTGACGGTTGAGCCCTGCTGCA